TTGATTCACAATGAATTTATCTGCAAATATCTTTTTAAATTTTTTAATATCGAGCCATCATTCTCCTCATATTGTATATGTTGTTGGAGACCTAGTCCTGTGTATTGCTTATGGCACAGAGCTGACGTCAAGCGACAGGACATGAGTTGTTATACTAATGCACTTTGACATGGGGAATTAATAGGCACAACTGTGAAGGCCTGGGGTTGATTGTGATAGTATCAAGATGCCACGAGGATGCCCTGAACATAGAGCAGACGAATAGTCATGCTACAGGCCAGCTTAAATGCTCTAAGCATTTATCTGGGAAGACGCAGCTACTGAGAGGTTACAGGAATACTATATTCATTTACTGGCGATCGTGAATCCCACTAGACAGTGGGAACAGCGATTTGAAATGTGTATGGCCAGATTTAAATTTTGTATCTGCCAACTGCTTTGTTACTGAGATGCTTCATTGAGCTGGCACTCAGCACATGCCCTGAAACTACTTGGCTCTATTTGCCTCAAAATGTGTGCAGTGAGTGCTAGATTACTGCCAACAAAAGAAGAGAAAGGAAACATTGGCTCAGTCTGACCACACTCCTTAACACAGCATACATGGGACTGAGCAGAGTGCAGGCTCTGGATGTATGCTGATTAGGCACCCGTCCCATTTGCCACATCCAATGGAAGCATATGCCTCGGTTCAGTCATGAATCAACCCTGTCAAGAATAAAGGTTTCTTTCTGACCAGCATGATCCACCAGTAATTCTATTAATATGCCATTTGCATTTCCTGGGAGATAGCCACTGCTGGTTCCCTGGTTCCCTGGCAGGTTGGTCAGAGACTCACAGGAGACTAGTGTGCATGGGGGAAGGGGGGGACTAGAGTCTGACCTGGGAGAGGGGGGCAGGGATTTGTGGGGACCTGTACAAGCCAGGAGGCAAGAGTCAGAGGCAGGGGAAGCTTCAGAGCTGGAGGGTAGAACACAGGAAGGGTAGAACACACAGAAGAGGAATTAGAGGCAGGTCAGACAAGTGAAGGGCTGGGTGCTTCCCCACCCACTTTTGCACCATTGTCTCCCAGAACCATGAGGGGATTGAAGAGGGAAGAGCAGGGGCAGCTTCCACGCAGGCATAGTCTCCAACTGTGTGCGCACAGCCCTTCGGAGGAAGGTACATAAATGGGTGGAGGACGAGTGTTACTGCAACTGCTCCAGAGAGCACAGACCTACGAATAGCTGCCTAGTGGCAAGACTAGTGTACATGGATATTCAGAGCTATAGAAACAACTGTGTCAGCTTTGACAAGAGTTAACAATCTGCTGTGTGCATTCCTTTGGCTGTGGAGCACCCTTGACAGACTGGCTCAGGATACACCAAAGGTGGGTTATTCAAATAAACTGCAATAACCTCTGTGGTGTGCAAAGGACTCTGCATCAGAAATTCAAAATATAATGTGCCCATGGCTACATGGATAAACCCACCTGGTCATTTAATGTGTGAACCAGGACACTTGTAGGCTTTGTAACAGGTTGATAGTTAAGTGTAGGCTTTCAGTTCTCAAATGAATGGTCTTTTTCACTTAGCATGGCTCCCAAATGTCATCTTTTCCTTATAGAGATAAGGGCAATGTGTTCTTTATGTACAAACCAGTACAAGTTCAGTCTAACATCTCCACATAATGGATCTCAGGTACCAGAAATGAGATAGATACGTATATGTGCCTAAGACCCTTGAGATTCTTGCAGAAAAGTGTAAAATAAAGATCACTGAGGTGGCTCGTTATAAAGTAGTCCTTTATATCATCCCGGCTGCTTCCTATTTGCCTCTACATCATACGTTTTACTTTTCACATCAATGTATTCTTATGCACTCGCTCACTTGGGAGAAGCGGGTGCAGGGAGACCAGAAAGGCAATCTCTAGGCTGCTTCCAAGGTACGTATAAATGATAGAGTTTACTCCCAGAATACTTGGTTGGTGTTTAAAAAACCATTGGCATCCTTTCCAACAGTTGAATGCCAGAGTGGGAATCAAAGACATTGTAGAATTGTAAGTACAGTGAACAACATTTCTTAAATCTTCCCTAGTGGTCATGAATTTTCAAATGCTTCTCTGTGCCTGCAGTGAGGGTTGGAGGGGAGGGCAAGGGGGGAGGGCAGGCAGGGAAGAGAGGGAGGGAGGGAGGGAGGGAGGGATGGAGGGAGGAGTGACATGGAGTTCTGGCATAGAAAAGAATCTGCTCTGTTTCTTTGTAACATCAGAGCAGAAACCAATAAAAGCCACAGGAGCCATGCCTTGCTGTTCCATGAGACAAATTCAGCCACTGTGTCCAGACCTGTTGAACCCACCTGAGCTTGCAGGGGCAGTTTGATGATTCTATAGACCTTCTGCCTATAGAATCACCAAATTGCCCCTGCAAGCTCAAGTAGGTTCAACAGTCCTACCACCCCCATTTCTGATCAGTGACAAGAAATCCTGCCATGGAAAACAAGCAAGATGTGCATGTTGTCGGTTAATTTATGGAAATCTACACTGTTTATTCTACCAGCTGGATTAGGGCTCTTTACATGCTGAATTCCAGACCCCTAACCATGATGCTTCAGGGCTTTGCTCCCAAGCACATTACCCGAATACAATGTATCTAACCTTTTCACTTCTTCGAACCCCCAGTGTGTCACCTGTGGTCATGTATATGGCCCTTTCTCTCATCTGTGCACCCACAGCAGAGAGACTCATCATTTGCTCTCAGCAGGAGCCTCTATTAATCACTGCAGGTGCATATGTGCTTTCTGCTAATGCGTTTCTCCCTCCTCATTGGGGCTCTGTTGCAAAACTGGCTGCCACCAGCAGATATCTTAGGCAATTAATTAAGATGTCATTTATAGGCCCATTGGGTGACCTTAATTAAACTGTAAAATGGTGAACACTAATAAGAAAGATGATATCCCCGTAGGTGGCAAATCAAGTGAATTAACCTCCCAGTAAGGAATCGTGGCTTCATTTGATAGAGGGTCTGAGGAACAACCAAAGCATTGGAGCAGGACTATGGGTTGCCTCCCCCCACCACACCCCCTGCTAGCAAAGCACAGGATGCTCTGTGAAAACGATGCTGCAGCTAATGCATGCATTTGGGACCTCCCATAAAGCCAGCTCTCGCTTACATGGAGCGCCTATTGATCGAAGTGTCTTGTATATTCCCTACATTGTCCCCCATCAAAATAGCGCGATGGCAATGGCACTCCCAGTAATTGGAGCTTCTAATTGCCAATGCTCTGGATGTCTCCCAAGCCATTCTGATAAATGGCGCTATTATGCACACACAACGCAAACAGTCACCCATATTTTATTTATATGCATCTTGCAGAATTGAGTCAATAATTTACTCTAGAGATGATTCCTATTCAATAGAGTTTTCTCTTTGATATATTAGCTACTTTGAGTAAAAACCGAACTTACTCACACCAGTCAAGATTAAAGAGCAGCAGAATGAAGACAGAGCAAACTGTGGCCGTCTCTGGAACATATCCTGGAGCTAATTTTTAGGGGACGGGGGGTGGGGAGGAGTCTGGACTCGCCCTATAGCCAGTAAAGGGGGGGGGAGGAAAATCCTATTACCATATGTCAGTCTTTGCCAACCTTGTGCCCTCCAGCCAGCATATGTGTGAGCTTTGTGCCTCACCTGGGATTTGAAACTGGGTCTCCCAAGTCATAAAAAAGATAAAGGTAAAGGACCCCTGGACAGTTAAGTCTGGTCAAAGGTGACTCTGTGGTTGCGGCGCTCATCTTGCTTTCAGGTCAAGGGAGCCGGCGTTTGTCCACAGACGGCTTTCCAGGTCATGTGGCCAGCATGACTAAACCACTTCTGGTGCAACAGAACACCGTGACGGAAACCAGAGTGCATGGAAATGCCGTTTACCTTCCTGCTGCAGCAGTACCTATTTATCTACTTGCACTGGCATGCTTTCAAACTGCTAGGTTGGCAGAAGCTGGGACAGAGCAATAGGAGCTCACCCTGTTGCGGAGATTCAAACTATAATTATTTCTTTCCTACCTTTAGGGATGCAAATACAAATCTTTCCAAGGTAGGGCACCAAAGATCCTTATGACTTGGTGTGTGGGTGTGGGTGTGTATTCCTTATTATTATTATTATTATTAATCAAAATACAAGTCATCAGGGTCTTTCTGACTGGGTACATAGTATCAGTTCATCATCTTACTCTAACAGAGAACTCTGGGCCAAATTACATAGCATGTTAGCTCATGTAGCTGGCCTTTAAGTTCAGGAGGTTTTAAAACACAAATTGCCACCATGCAGGGCAAGGAGAAATCTTAGCAATACTGGGTACGGATGCTTTTCCTTCCACACTCCAAATCCAGCTCAGGGCCCTTAAACCTGTAGTTTGCATTGGGCTGTTTGTTTGGTTTTTTGTTTGTATTAAAGCTCTCATATGCTTCAAGTGGAACTTTTTCTATCTATGCAGCTTGTAGATGATTTGGCGAGGGTGGGGAATCAGGACCAGGGACATAGTGGGGCAAAGAGTTAAAGCCATGTACTCCACACCCTTGAATCCTGCTCCAGATCAGGGCCCCCTCACTACCACCACAGGACAGCTAACTATGGGTGTAAGCAGGTAGCAGTTTTCACCCTGTCCTGTGTTCATCGCAAGCAGCACAGTTTCCATTCTGCTTCAGTTTAGCTTCCACTAAAGCCAGCCTTATTTCTGCCCCCATTTCCATGTTTGACAGAATGCTCCAGCGTGCCAACAGCTAATGCAATGTGCAGTTTGGGCCTCGAATAGCTAGCACTAAAAGAAATAGAACTGAAACAAGGCAAACAAGAGGCATGAGAATGCTTGTGGTGGGACCCTGAAGCACAAAAATTAGAGTGCTCAGATGCAAAAGAGGGCAGGGCAACTATTGTACCTTTAATAGTTGCACAGAAGACAATGTTGCAGCAGGTGCAGTTTGCCAGGCAAGCAACAGCTGCTGAAATGCCATCTCCTATACAAGGCAAGCAGGATAGCTCTGTTAGTAGAGCATGAGACTCTGAACCTCAGGGTTATGGGTTTGAGCCCCACATTGAGCAAAAAAATCTAAATGGACAGCTCACACACACACACATATATATATGCCAAACACACAGCCCAGTAAAAACTGAGCGGGCTCAGTAGCCCAGGGATGTTAAGTGCCAGCTGGAAAATGAAAATGAAAATGGTGGGGGAAGAGTGAGAAGCCCTTCTGGGAGGCTGGCTGAAGCCCTGAACAGAAGAGAGGATTCACTGCAATATTTTGTTGCAGGTCCCACTTGCCATGATGAATAACCATTCCTCCAGGAATTGGTCTTCTTGTCCCCTCTTCAAATTATCTAAACTATTAGCCATCGTGTGCTGTAGGAGCAAATTCCATAAATTAGGTATGCATTGTTTTGAAGAAGTGCCACTTGTGCTTATAAAGCGTCCTATCAAGAAAATATTATTAGGTACACACGCTGTGCTAATAACTTTAAAAGAAAATTGGAAGCTTCTTGTTTATTTATTTATTTTAATGTTAGAAGATTTAGAAAGGGGGAATTCTTTATATCTACTGCAGCAGCCTCTATATGCATTAGGTTTAGGAAGAATCATTACAAATTTCTGTATCAATGGCACTGAGTGCCAGAAAAATTAAGTAAAATATACGGCAACTGAAATATTAGAGACGTGATGAGGACAGAGCTGATTTTGAACAGATTATTGAGAATATTCAAGGTCTGTTGAACACACTTGTAAAGTATATTACAGGGTGCATAATTCCATTAAAAAGAAATAGAGGTGAAAGTACTGAGTTATATTAAATATTCAGTTAATCAGGGGGGAAAGTGAGACCTGCAACAAAATATTGCTGCACAGAGTACTCCTGTTCAGGGTTCCAGCAAGCCCTTTACCTGGATACTCCATTCTGCCCTGATCCCTCAGGTTTCTGTTCTCCCTCTGCAACAGCTACTCAGCATTCCTTGGCCAGAAAGCATGCTCACTGGGCTCTTTTCTTGTTAGGTAACAGAAGGCAGCCTTGCCCCAATCTGGTGTCGTCCAGATGTTTTTGCAGCTGGGTTCCAATTCCCAGCAGCTCCAGCCAGCACAGTCAATTGCCCAAGAAAATCTGCAGGGCATCAGGTTGGGGAAGACTGACATAGAGTAGGGATGGGAAACCTGTGGCCCTCTAGATCTTGCTGGAGTCCAATATCCATCATCCCTGACTATTGGCCATGCAGACTGGGGCTGATTGGAGGTGGAGATCAACAACATCTGGGGAGCCACAGCTTCTCTATTTCTGACACAGAGGCATATATGCTGCATCCATATTCCTATCTTCTGTATTCTATTAATACACATTCATGAAGTATGCATAGGATACAGTGCAACACCTGCATGGCAAAGTTTAATATTTGTGTCTGTAAACCGTAAATGAAAATAAAATATTTATTAAAAAAAATAAAATTGGTATTTGTACATAGAAAGCAAAGGTTCTCTCCTAGAAACAGAGATGCATATCTCAAAGAACAGAGGGCTGATTTTTCAGCATCACCAGAAGACAGAATATTCAGCAGGCAATTACTTCTGCTGCTGAACCCAAGCAGCATAGCGGAGCAGCCCGATAACTACTGCTCACCTCATGGCTGCCGGAGAGCACATCCCTGGACCACTTCCCAGAGTATCAGACACTTGAAGGAAAATCAAGATTGATTCTGCTTCTCTTGCCAAGGCTCTCCTCCCCTTTCAATTTATTTGGACCTCTTCAGAGACTCTTGCTGAGAAATGCATCAATGCTACATATTGTGGATTCTCTTTGTATTTTTACCAGCACTCCAGGGCCAAACTCATAGCAAGACTCAACTGCAATGGTCTGATGAATTTACACCAAGGAGAATTTGCGGCTCTGGTTTGCCATGGTTAACCGTATGATGACTGGAGGCAGGCATGTAGGTGAGGAGCTCAGCCATTGCAAATGTTGCAAATTTTGCAAATTTTCCTATAGCAAGGCATTTAAAATGACTTTTTTTTTTATGAAGGCAGATATCTCAAAGACATTTTTAACAATTATATTTTATAGCATTAAATAGTTTTGTATTTGATGAGAACCACAGAGCTAAAACTTAAGGTTATATTTCACTCTTTGCACGCAAATAATAATAACAATCAAAGAGACTTGTGGGACTTTTAGGACTAACATCTACTTAGTAATTCTATATCTATAATCTATCTATCTATATATCTATTCATCATCATCATCATTTGCATTTCTTGTCTGCTCTTCAGAAGGTCCTAAGGTAGGTTATAGCATATAAAAACACAGTTACCATACTTTTCTGTGTATAAGACTATGTTTTTTTTTACTGAAATATTATGTTTAAAATAGGGGGTCATCTTATACATGGGTAGTGCTTAGAGGGGACGTGGGATTGGTTGATACCGAGATCTGGAGACGGTCTGCAGCATGTTATGTTGTTGGTGATATTTGGCAATCCCCCCCTTAAAAAAAGCTCAACAACTCTGGGCAATTCTCTTAATTTTTAGTCCCTCAAAATAGGGGGCATCTTATACATGGGGGCATGTTATACATGGAAAAGTACGGCAATACAGCAAACAACAACAACAACAACCTCACCTGTAATGGTTTCTAAGGGGGTTGCTCTTGCGTAAGCAGGTGCCTATCTTCCTGGCTGGGTGCAAACACCTGGCTGGGCTGCCAAAGTGAACCTCCTCTGTCCGGACAGCCACTCACCCGTGGCTGACTCAATCGCTGGCAGAATCCGTGAGTGGGCATTTCTTAAACTTCTTCCAGCAAAGAAGCTCTTTGACGCCTAGTCTCCGCCTACCCTCTCTGCGCGAAAGCCTTCTGCGCAGGGAGGGCGTGGGCAACGGAGGACCCCTACTCTTCCCACTGGTCCCAGGCAAGGAGTCATGAGACCGCCTCGCCACTTCCCCCACCTGCCCCCCTTCTCCACTGGTGCTACGCTGATTCTCTTCCCCAGAAGATTGGCTGCTTCTCCCGATCCCTGGATGCTCTCTGGAATCCCTCTGGCTTTCGCGCTCTCCCTCCAGTACTGATGGCAGTTCCCTGACATCACCCATAAAAAAAACCACAGGGCAGTGTAAAAAGTGACTCTCCAACAACTGACAAAAGCTGCAAAGAGATGTTGCTAGATGCACCTCTGTAGGAAGGGAGATCCATATTCTTGAAGTCATCACTGAGAATGCCCTCTCATGAGACACTATCCTCCTGAAACTCTTAAGAGTGGTAGAACTAACTACCTTGAAGGTTTCCTCCACTAACTGAAGTCTCCAGTCTGATCTACAGGGGCCAGGTATTAGGGGCCTATGGCTGTTAAGCCTTTGAACACTAATATGAGCACCTTGAAATGGGCTGGGAAGGTAATAGGGAGCCAGGGAAGCTGCTTCAGAACAGGTATTATCTGCATTCTCACCAACAAGGCATGCCAGGCAGCTATAGCCAGTAGAGGAGGAAAGATGTGGATACTGTATGTCCACATGCTACATTCACAGCCCCATCATGCCCAACACACCCATGGAATCAACAAAAACTGTATACCACTACTGTGGTTGGCATTGCTAATCCCACCCTATGTGGTCAATGGGAGGGGAAAAGAAAACACAGTGGTCCGCTCAGCCACTGTGAAACAGCAGGACACTGGCTCTGGTGGTTACTCTGCCATCTTCTTCCCCCACCCCCAGGTCATAAAGGTAAGTTAGGACTGCTCTGTAAATCCTCTGGGAAGTCTATTTTAGCATTGCATTGCATCTAAGTTCAATAACAACAACAACAATAAAAATAAATGCTGGTATTCCTCTGATACGTGAATTACATTTGTTATTCTTTAATGGACCTTGAATCCAGGAAGACATATGCAGTCATCACATTGATCCGTCCAGTCCAGTATTCTTGCTTACTCTGAGTCACAGAGTTACACAAAGCCTCAGGCAGCAGCCTTTCCTAGCTCTGCGACCTGAAATCAGGACAAGTCTGAGATTCAACCTGGGACCTTGGGCAAGTCAAGTCCTATTTATTTATCTATTTTATTTATTTCATAAAAATGTATATATTGCTTGATTCTAAAAAGCCTGAAAGTGGTTTACAAAAAGATAAAATCAAGGGGGGAGGGAATCACAAGCATGCTTTAAAATGAACAGATTTTAAAATAGTAAAAGGTATGTGCTTTTCCACTGCTATTGCTTGCAAAAGAAAGAAGGGGGGAAATTTATGTTTTTGATACAGAACTTATTGTTTTGGCATATGCAAACATTGTTCTTAGCATATTGAGGTAGCACTCCATTTCCTTTTTCCATCTGGTATTAAATTGAACCTGTGTCTGTGTTGTTTAGACTTGAATACTATTAATTCCAGGCTGCTGGGGGCATGTCTGCAAAAGATGCTTTACTAACAGGCATTCGGTGGTGGAGGGAACACATACATCAAAGCAGTGCCAATTTAAAGTGCTCCGTGTAAAGAGCTGGCCACAGCTTGTGTTCTTCAGCACAATGGAAAGCCAGGAAAGCAGTCAAATAACTAAGAAGAATGGGACAAAGGTCAATTCCCCCTGAAAAGAGGAAAAGGAACACGTTTAATTTCAAAGGAAAAACATTCTTCATAAGAAAAATAAATTAATACAAAATTGGCATGTCAACATGAACAAATAAAAGATCGTGCATAGTAAGTGCTATACCCGGCATGCCAAAATTTAGATTTCTATGAGACTTTGACAAACTACAAATGGAAATATGGAACAAAAGCTCTTGCAGTACAAACCCTCCTGAGTCATGAAGAAGAAAAGAAAAGAGCAAAAGTCCCAAGTCCCACTCAAGTGAAGGAATATTCTTCCCAAACTTCTTAAGAAAAAACAGTACAGTGGTACCTCGCGTTACAGATGCTTCGGGTTACAGACTCCGCTAACCCAGAAATAGTACCTCGGGTTAAGAACTTTGCTTCAGGATGAGAACAGAAATCGCGCGGCAGCGGCGCAGCAGCAGTGGAAGGCCACATTAGCTAAAGTGGTGCTTCAGGTTAAGAACAGTTTCAGGTTAAGAACGG